AAGCCTGCCATCATCTGCACCTTCATCATCACATTAACATAAAACACACAGTCTGAACAATCACAATATCTACTATCAAGATTTTTTCCTTACAAATTTTATCGTGGTGCATTACAGCTTCGTCACGTCTGATTAATTTCTCTTTCACAAACTGTGTTCCGGCTGCCTGGTCTCCGTCCTCTTAAAGCAGTGGTTCTCAACCTTGTTTGCCCCATGCACCCCTTTCACCATATGTCAGGATGTCATTCCCCCCTCCTTTCCAAGATTGTCTGCCTCAAAAAGTGCATTCCAAATAATATGCATATAATACTGAAAATCCTTTATTTTTTCCATATTAGTGCATATACATTTACAATTTTACATGGATTATTTTTATAGTGGAGTTTTACAAATTAAATGCCAATTGAAAATGTTGATGGATTTATAAGACTTGAATAAAAGTAAAATAGTATTTTTTTATTTATAATGAATTACTTAAGACCAAACTGAAGCATAATGCAATAAACAAAAAGTTCAATAGAATACCAGGATATTGTAAATTTGTAATTAATTTTATTCAGATGAAGATTACAGTCAATGAGAAACCTGTGATTGTTTTTTCTTCGCCAATTCTGGGATACGCGGAGGAGTGCTTGAAAGGGCACAACGCAGGTCATTTTCTACCTCTAATCTACTACGTTGCTTCGTTTTAATTTGCAACAGAGTTGAAAAGCCTGACTCACAAAGATATGTCGACACAAACGGAAGCAATGCACGGATAGCTCTTTCTGCCACTTTTGGGTAGGAATCGCACATCAAGGGCCAAAATTCTGTGATTGATTTCTCATCGAACATATCTCTTGCTCCAGAATCAGTTTCCCCCCCCCTGAAAACCTGAATTCCCCCCCCTGGGGGGAATTCCCCCCTGGTTGAGAACCCCTGGTATAGATGCATATAGAAGAGATGTGTGGTGGTAGACTGTGGCCACTTGGTGTGTATAGATGTATATAGAAGAGATGTGTGGTGGTAGACTGTGGCCACTTGGTGTGTATAGATGTATATAGAAGAGATGTGTGGTGGCACACTGTGGCCACTTGGTCTGTATAGATGTATATAGAAGAGATGTGTGGTGGCAGACTGTGGCCACTTGGTGTGTATAGATGCATATAGAAGAGATGTGTGGTGGCACACTGTGGCCACTTGGTGTGTATAGATGTATATAGAAGAGATGTGTGGCGCATTACAGTCTAGTCAGTGTGATTAATTTCTCCTTCTCAAACTGTGTTCCGGCTGCCTGGTCTCCGTCCTCTTAAGGGTTAACTTATATCTCGGTCTCCGCCTCAAGAGCCACTTGTGGTTCTCTCTCAACTTACGCTGTGATTGACTTTAAAAATGTTAAATGATCTGTATCGGGGAAACGAGTTGAGGAAGAAAAACAAATATATCGACTGTTATTTTTTAATATATACCCCGATGAAAGGTTCACTGATCAATGTAGTCCACGAGTTTGTGCGTGTGTTAGCTGGTCTGGTGTTTGCTGTGTTTCAATTGGCTGTTTCTGCTGTACCCACAGTATATAATGCCGCTATACAGTTTTGTTTTTTACACTATAACTCTGAAAACTCGTGTCAAATCGTGCAAATCACGGTTTGACTGTAACACAATACTATTTAAGAAAAATATCACCAATGTGCCGACTCACATCTTTGCTTCAATAGGATATTTCGAGGAACACTATTTTCATCAGTTACAAAGTAAAGAAACAAAACAAAATTAGTACAGTTGAGCACAGCAAAAATTAATGTAATATTCCCTAACGATAAGCCCACTGATGAATATATATATATATATATATATATATATATATATATATATATATATATATATATATATATATATATATATATACTTCATTTTTAGTCCATATAACACGCAGACTTTGAACATATAATCAACGACCTCACGACCTACTGGGTGTGACTAGGGAACGCTTACCGGCTAGGCCACAAGGACACTAAAAGCAGTTCTAGACTCTGTTATATTTCACACAAAGCCTGTTCATCGAGCTGATGGCGCCGTGAACCTCATTGGGAAACTGCCCGTGCCTCTTATGTGGTGTCAGTAGCATTTTACCGAATCCAGCTGGTATGAAACGCGAGGTACATATATATACTTCATTTTTAGTCCATATAACACGCGGACTTTGAACATATAATCAACGACCTCACCAGCAAGGAATCGAACCCTCGACCTACTGGGTGTGACTAGGGAACGCTTACCAGCTAGGCCACAAGGACACTAAAAGCAGTTCTAGACTCTGTTATATTTCACACCTCGCGTTTCATACCAGCTGGATTCGGTAAAATGCTACTGACACCACATAAGAGGCACGGGCAGTTTCCCATTGAGGTTCACGGCGCCATCAGCTCGATGAACAGGCTTTGTGTGAAATATAACAGAGTCTAGAACTGCTTTTAGTGTCCTTGTGGCCTCGCCGGTAAGCGTTCCCTAGTCACACCCAGTAGGTCGAGGGTTCGATTCCTTGCTGGTGAGGTCGTTGATTATATATATATATATATATATATATATATATATATATATATATATATATATATATATATATATATAGGGTTTCAAAGTTTCAATTAAGACTATGAAGAACAATAGAGGGATCTTACACAGGCAGGCCAGTAGTAGGAAGTAGGCAGCTACCAATCAGGGAGGTACTACCGCCTGGGAAGATATTGGAAGCATAATGTGTTGTCTAATGGTAGATCCTGTTCCCATGTGACATCACGAAAATTGTGACCCAGTCCCAGGTTGATGATCTGACTTTCTGCCACATTTACACACAATTGCAGGGTCTCAATTGTTTCTCTTACTTTGACAACACAACAGACATACAGTATATCGTTTCTCACTACTGATATTTTTGTTTATTATAATTTTATATTATAATATATTTATCTAATATTTGTTATATTTTTTATTAATATTTTTAATTATTTTTTTTATTTAATATTTTTTATAATTTTCTATAATTTTTTATTAAATATTATTATTAGTATTATTATATTTCCGCCCCCCAGGCCCTAATGTGGGTCAGTGACCTGTGTTCTGGTGGGCTAATCCCGTAAAAAAAGGCCACTGGCCGCCTTCCCTAGGCATGGACACCTCTACAGCATTTGTTTGTTTTTTACAGGGATTAGCCCACCCGGGCACAGGTTACTGACCCACATAGGGGCCTGGAGGGCGAATTTGTAATAATTATTCATGGTAAATAAATTTTATAATAAAAATTTAAATAAAATAATAATGATAACAATAATAATAATAAAGAACGATAAAGGAATACAAAAAATGCTGGTGTATGTTGTGTTGTCAAGTAAGTGAAACAATTGACACCCTGCAATTGTGTGTAAATGAGGCAGAAAGTCAGATCAGCAACCTGGGACTTGGTCACAATTTTCGTGATGCCATATGGCAGCAGGGTCTACCATTAGACAACAAATTATGCTTTCAATAACTTCCCAGGTACTTCCTGCTTGTAGTTGCCCAACCTACTTGCCATTAGGTAAATATTTAGCATACTCAGCTGTACCGTTGCCCAGCCACACCAGTTACCGCCGCCCAGCCACACCAGCTGTACCGCCGCTCCAGCCACAATTCAGCCGTACCGCCGCCCAGCCACAGCCGTACCGCCGCCCAGCCAGCCACCAGCCGTACCGCCGCTCCAGCCACACCAGCTGCAGGCCGCCGCCCAGGCCACACCCAGCTGTACCGCCGCTCCAGCTACGCCAGCCGTACCGCTGCCCAGCCACGTCTGCATGTACCGCCGCTCCAGTTACCACCAGCCGTACCGCCGCCCAGCCACACCAGCTGCACCGCCGCTCCAGCCACACCAGCTGCACCGCCGCTCCAGCCACACTCAGCTGTAACGCTGCTCCAGCCACACCCAGCCGTACCGCCGTCGAAGCCACACCAGCCGTACCGCCGCTCCAGCCACACCAGCTGTACCGCCGCTCCAGGCCACACCAGCTGTACCGCTGCTCCAGCACCAGCTGCACCGCCGCTCCAGGGCCATCAGCTAAAATTCTCGCCGCTCCATTAATACCAATAGTCAAAATGCCGTCTAGCCAATAACCAGCCGTGACTGCCGCCCAGGCCACACCAGCTGTACCGTCAGCTCCAGCTGTCTCGAGCTGCACCGTCGCTCCAGCCACACCACCAGCTGTACCGCCCAGCCACACCAGCTGCACTGCTGCTCCAGCACACCAGTCAGGACTGCCGCCCAGCCACACCAGCTGTACCGCCGCTCCAGCCACACCAGCTGTACCGCCGCTCCAGCCACACCAACTGTACCACCGCTCTAGCCACACCAGCTGCACCACCGCTCTCACTACAACAGCTGTACCACCGCTCTAGCCACACTAGTTGCACTACAGCTCTAGCCACACCAGCTGCACCACCGATCTCACCACAACAGCTGTACCACCACTCTAGCCACACCAGCTGCACCACCGCTCTCACCACACCAGCTGTACCACCGC